CCCCTCGCTCACATGCTGTGCCCAGTCGGCTGGTGCCTGAGCTCGGATCATACCAAAGTTAGGGGGACTTTACGACTGTGCGCTATGTGCTTCGAATATTGTGTGTAGTTTTTGTTTTATACAGTTGTCAGTCAGGCATCTAACGATGAAACAGATTTCACTCCAAAAGACCCCGGGCTTCTGAAAAAATGACCCGGGCTTCTGAAAAAATGACCCGGGCTTGAGCTCAGTAAGCCCCCCCCTCCAGCTCTGCCGGCGGTCGACTCCAAATCTCCCGACCATGTCAATCTGAGAAAGCAAGACCGAGACAGCGAGACCAAAAAAGACCAAGACCACGTAAAAGTGGTCTCGAGACACACAACCATAGTTAGTGGTAAATGGACTGATTCTTGTATCGCACTTTTCAGCTCTCCAAAGCGCTCTGTACAACATTCACACAAACAAGTGCTTTCTGATTACCATCCACACACCGATGGATGCATCAGGGAGCAACTTGGCTTAATGTCGAGGATATTTGGCACGCAGACTAGCAGGAGCCAGGGATCGAACCACCAACCTTCCCGAGCTACAGCCACCCCGTGCTCATCCAAATGATGAATGATCATTTCCTTGATTGTTGATTGTTTTCCTTTTTTTCATCCTCTCAACTGGTCTTTTTTACTATATAATAATTTTACTATCCAGATTTTAACAGGCTGGCTTCAGTTTTCGTGGTTTTCACCTTAACAAGTTAAATATATGCAGGAGAAGAGGAAATACTGAAAATAGTGTAGAAACAAATCACAGTTTAATTTTTTAGACCAAACTTTTTATATTACCTCTTGCAGTTGTAGCCATAGTGGAGTCAAAGCCTTACACTCTGTATAATGAGCTCTTTATAATCATCACAGTGTGCAGAAGTGCTGCTGTGGACAACCATACTCATCTGTCCACAGCCCTCTACATCGTGCAGTGACCTTCGTTTCATTGCCATAGTCTTGTGGAAATGTGTTTAGTTGATGTGTTGATTATCAGACAGCCTGTAGTATTTGTCCATCATCATAAGGTAAAGTATGCTCTGTAAGAGGCCCTGGATGGGGTCGAGTTGTCCAACTGTCCTGACACAAGTCGTTGTTGATCTCACTGTTGTAGGGGAAAGACTCTAGGGCTGCAGATAAGACTGTTGCCATGGTCCTGAAGGAGATACCAAGTAAGGCGTCATCAGAAGGGAAGCCCCTCCTCACAGTGACTACCAAGGTGGGCAGATGCATTTCAGAAACACCCCACCCACCCCCAATCCCAAACCCACCCCTGGATTAAAGCAGAAAGTCCTCCTGTGTTGGTCACACTGAAACACGAGCTTTGAGTGTCCTATAACTGACCTCTACTGACTGTTGTATCTAACAAAGAAGCGAAAATTATTTCATTTCCAGCTGCTCTATGGGGTATAAAACCCACCTAATGCATCACTACGTTTGCACAAACACAGCCTAATGATGTTACCATCTACACAAGTAACCTCAAATTCACTGCAATTATTCATGCGACTCTTTATCTTTTCCAATTAGCCTCTGCAACACTGGTAGTGCTCCTCCACGTCTATATTTAACACTGTATGGGGATTAACCACACATTTCGTGTCCCATTCATAATCGGGTCAGTCAAACTTCCTCGTGAACTTTTTACACCTCATAAGCAGCTAATCCTCAGCACAAACAGTCTGTGAATGCATTTCCAAAGATGCGATGTCACACAGCATGGCATTGAGCTGTTGGTGGTGTTCTTTGAACCAAATTACTGCAGCCACTGCTGAGCTTTTCACTTCTCTGTTGCTTTTTAAGTGGTAACGCTGGAGTCTATGCACCGAGTGCCAGTATGAGTTTTGTTGCCCTGTGCTTGATTGCTTCTGTGGGTGCTGCTGCTGCGTGTGTCTATGTTTTAATAAGCTGTAGCATGCTTTACTCCTCTTTTATTTTCTAATGCAGTGTCTGGTTTGATAAGCTCTCATACAACAGATATACTTTTCCCACTTAAGTGTGGGGGGGTGTAATTATAGCCCCAAATTGTTTGCTGAGTCGACACCAACAGAGTACGATTTAAAGATTTAAACCGAAGAGGGTCAGGCAGGAATCCGTGATTGTTAACACACGTTTCCTGTATCTGACATTTCTGCTCATTTAAGATGCTGCAGTGAGGCTGAAATCAAACTAATGGAAATAATAGATCAATAACTTATTCTGAGTTTGGATGTTAGCAGCTCATATTTCTCCTGCTCCTTTACATTGAGTTTTATTGCTGCTTCAAACAGGCAACGCACCATCAGTTATGCTCAGCGGGTCTGATCGACCACCAGAGAATGAGGTGATAACGGCCTGTTGAGTGTGCTGGCAGGTGGAGGAGGCCGCCGCCATGCACGAGGCTGATAACAGCTGATGATGACCACTCATGGTCTAAAAACATTCAAACTGGGGGGGGTTTACATTTTATAGCCTTCAAATGTCAATAGTCTTAAGGCCCAGCATTGAGTGAAAAGAACATGAACACACATGTCATCACCTTTTGTGTTTCCTTCTCACAGTGCAATGATGACAGCAGGTTTCCATAAGGCCACAGGCTTCAGCTTTGAATCAAAAATAACAAACAATAACAAAACAATAGAAAACCTCTCATTTATTTATTTATTTATAAAGCACGTTTAATAACAACAGGGAGCTGACCAAAGTCTGCACAGAGTAACAGTTAAACAATGACATTGACAACAACGACAGGTAAGAAAATTAAAAGAAAATTAGGATCAAAGAATTGGTAACTCTCACAGTTTCGAAAGCGTAAGAGAGCAAAAGAGTAAAAAATATGTTTTAAGATGTGATTTAAAAAGAGTGACAGTCGGGGCCTTTCTAATGTGGAGAGGTAGATCGTTCGCCCGATCTCCTCTATGAACCATCCGAGACTTATGTAAGGAGCAGGCGATCGCTTGATCGAAGGGCTCTAGAGGGCGTATAAAGCTGCAACAGGTCAGACAAATAGTCCGGTGCCAATTAGCACTTTATAAGTCAAAGTAACATTTTAATTCTAAAACGCACTGGAAGCCACTGAAGGCTCTTCTCACTATTGTCTTCACATAATTATTAAAATGACCAAATACAACAACTAATTAAAGACACAAACTCAGAGGCCCATCATACATACTGAGCAGGTCACACATGCATGCACTGCATAATGTGTGTGAGTGAGTTTCCTGTATCCACTCTTTTTAAAAAGGTAGAAAAATATGTCAGATTATAACATTTAAATCATATTTGAGTACCACAGACATGTAACAGTAACCACTTTGCTTGCTTTTGGCACACCCTTCACCAAACCCCCCCAGTGTTCGCGCACTGTTGTTTAAACATTTTGTGTGCTAAAATGATTAAAGGGTGTGTATGAAAAAGTCTGCAGATTTTTATTTTTTAATATCTGGATTGTCAGTTAGTCAAAATCACCAGTAAAATAATCTTAAATGACAGCGTCAAAGCGAATGCTGGATGTTGTTTCCACTCGGCTGGACTCACGGTTGAAGTGCTCTCCAGTGGCTGAGGCAGCAGTTTGAGTCCCTGCCTGATGTCACTTAGCAAGTGACGGAGGCTAAGCCACAGCCGGTGGTCCCTTTAGCCGCACGTCAAGTCAGGTCAGGTTTGTTTGGATGATGGATGATGTCTAAATGGGCCTCACACAGACAGGCTTCAACCAGCCGGACTCTTTATGATGATACATGAAAATGAAACGAGACGTCACGTTCACCTCTTCCTCTGTTCACAGCTCTGATGTCCTCATTTCTTCATCCATGCAGAGCTGTGTGCTTCTGTATGTGCAACAGATTTGCTGTTAATTATCAGGTTTTCTTTTATTTTTGTTATTTGGTTCATTTTTATGGACTTTTAGTAAAAAAGGTAAGATTCAATGTGCAAAAAGTACTTTAAGTATTCTGGATATATTCCTTTTTTAATATTACGTTGTACTTTTTTCACACTGTGTCTCCTAAAAACAAACCAGTCAGGCAAAATGTTGTACTGGGTGGAATATTTCAAACCTTTATTTACAAACAAAATTCAAACTGAATTAGTGTCCTTGGCCAAAATAGGCAGGGTTAACCTTGGTTTGGTGCTAACCTACCATGACTCTCAGGACAAACTGGAGTAACCAGAGAAATAAAAAATATCCAGGATCCTGTTGCTGTGAGGAAGCCGTGCTAACCACTGATCCATACCTCTGCCAGTTCCAGTCATTATAACAAGACACGTTATAGAGCCAGCTGTTAGGAGCTGTTAGGACCGATCTTCAGCATTAATAAAACCAGTCTTGGACAAATCACAAGAAAAGCACAGAGCGATGGGCTGTTGAATTGATGATTTTTGTCCAAAGGCAATCTGGTAGATAGAGGTGGGAATCACCATACATCCCACGATACGATATTATTGCAATTTTTTAAAATATTTTGCGATATTCAGATTCTGTACATAAAGGTAAACTTTATCAATATTCATTTTCTCTAATATCAAAGTCTCACACTCAGTCTTTCTCTCATTTCAGTTTGATTGTTGACAAACTGAACGGTTTGTATTACAGTCTAGTCCAACTTAACTGAATCAACCATCTGGTACAATTATAGCTATTCTGAACTATGCAGTTTATGAAAACTATGCAGCCCCTTCAGCAACTGAAGAATTTGAAAGTAAATTAAAACAAAATATAATTTTACATTAAATAAAAAAGTTTTAAACTTAATTCAAATAAAACATGTCTTAAATTAAAATAAGTAAACTGTCATGTTTATTGCTGCCAAAAACAAGTTAAACACATTTGGACAGTGAAGGAATGTCAGGATTCTTGCTCAGAAAAAGGATCAACATGCTCTGAAGTCAGAGCACAAAAACCTTTTTGTAACAAAATATTGATTTCTGCTGTCCCTGTATCCATACATTATTAGCAAACAAAATATCACCATGCTACACAGTATCCATTTTTTCCCCACCCCTACTGGTAGCAAGCTTTGAGTATGAAATAATGGCAGCTTTATTCTTCACTCAAATATATAAGGGAAGAAATTATTCTTTTTTTTAATATTTCACTTTTGACTCTGTTGCCTAAAGTCAAATCATATAAAGCCATCACGATGACTCCTAAACCCCAACAAGCCTTTGGGATGAGTAGATCATCACCACCCACAAGAAGCTGCTTGGAAACAAAAGTAACGAGTAAACAACCTGATGCATCACGAGAAGCTTTCTAATGATTTGTAAGAATCAATTTTGCATTAAAAAAAAAGACTTGCTGCATTATATAATCCCCGACCACAGCTCATATACTTAGACTGTTATCATTTTTCTAGACAACCATCCATCGCATAGCCGCCAGCTTTTAGCTAACAGCTGACATTAGTTCTCTTTGCCTTTATGTAGTGTTTTCCATCCTCTGCACCTCCTCCTACCCTCACCTCAGCCTCCCCTCCTTCAAAGCTCTGGTACACAATCCCCCTGACAGCAACATCTGAGAGTCAAGCCCAAGTGGCACAATTAGTTGAAGCTTTCTATTACATAATATTCTAGATTACTGCTTAAAGCACTTGTAAACAAAATGCCAAAGTGCTTTGCAAAGGAGAGAGTTAAAAAAAGGCAGCGAGGGAAAACAGTAACCTCCTCATAGCAATGGGCAAACAGCTCACAAAGCTCCTCTCCTGCCTTAGAAGTGAACCTGTAATTAGTGTTTGCTACCTGCTCTGTGCCTCACACATCCTCCCAGATAAACATGGTAGATTTTCTGTCCCCATTTTCTGGTTGATTGGAGGAGGAAAATGAAGAGGTCTCCTCATTTCAAAGCCATGAACAGACTCCTGTGGCAATTACACAAAGTGCTTTGAAGAACTACATCAGCTTACAGTTATTGTTTAGGGTTGGGCGCAGATCGTGCAGGGTCCTCCATCAGAAGGCTGAAACAACCTCATCTTCACAGCCTCAACTTATAGGCTCAAAAGCGTTCAAAGTCAAATCAAGCTTTTTAGTCTGTCAGACTCCACATTCACACCAACATCTTTAATGATGCACTTAGGCACAGCAGTGCTTTTGTGCTGAATGCTAATGGGTTATAGTTTCCTTTATGACCATTCTAGTGTTACCATGTGTTCCCCCTTAAGGCGAGACTAGTGTTTAACATTTAACCTTGAAAACAAATGTAGTCAGTTACAACGCCGAGCTTTACAACCTCAGGCCTCATGTATC